CCCCTGTAGCCAGTAAGTGGGGAAGCCCCCCCCCTCACCGGCCGCCTTTGTAAGTGCAAGTGCCAGGCTGTGCTGAGTTATGGGGCCCCAGCAAACAGCTTGGCTCAGCTGAGCTGCGGGGAGCCGGCTGGGGGCAGGTCTGAGCGGGGAAGGCTGGCAGGTGGGTCCCAGGGCTTGCTGCCTGCTCTAAATGGGGCCACTCAGCATCACTCACCACTGCCCCTCTCTCTCGCCCAGCTGAAGCAGTTTGTAAGTGCAAGTGCCAGGCTGTGCTGAGTTATGGGGCCCCAGCAAACAGCTTGGCTCAGCTGAGCTGCGGGGAGCCGGCTGGGGGCAGGTCTGAGCGGGGAAGGCTGGCAGGTGGGTCCCAGGGCTTGCTGCCTGCTCTAAATGGGGCCACTCAGCATCACTCACCACTGCCCCTCTCTCTCGCCCAGCTGAAGCAGGAGACCCAGTCCCCCTGCTGCTGCCTCCTGCTGGTCTCGGAGGACAACCACCAGCTCTTCTGCCAGGTGGGTGGTGCTGCGTCCCCACGCGGGCTGGGCCAGTTCCTGGGGGAGTCCGGGGGTCTCCCTAGGAACAGCCCTGGGGCATTCATCTGCCTGCCCCTGTCCATGCTGCTCTGCTGACTGCAGCTTTCCTTCCCCTGCACTCCCAGCCTCCCTGTCACGTGGGGGCCGGATCCAGCAAGGTGCTCCCCTGGTGTCCCTGGGGTCAGTGCTCAGCACCCACAGCACTGGGTCTGCAGGGTCTCTCCGGGGAAGGGGCCTGACTGCCCCTCACACCTGTGTGGTACAGGGGAAGTGGGGGGGGGCATGCTGGTGACCCTGGCAGAGGCACCGTGGAGCCACGCTGGTTTGAGTGGGAGGGGACCCAGGCCGGGTCCCATGGCCGGTGACTTGGCCCGGTTCCCAGGGCACCTGAGATGCGCCTGACTCAGGGGAACAGAGCCAGCCAAAAACCAGCCCTTCCCACCCGTGACAAATTTTGAAATCAAAGAAAAAAAAGTCTCCTAAGGAGGGAGGGAGGGAAGGAAGGAAAGAAATGTGTTTGGGGAGAAGACAGAAATGTTTGGCTGGCTCCCCGGGCGCTGGGAGCTGGCTGCCCGATTTCACAGAGACAACTGCCCAGGGAGCCAGGGAGATGGGTAGCCCAGCGTGCCAGGAAGCGACAGAGTCTGTAGCCCCGGCTCTGCCTGCCAGGTGAGCTGGGGAGAAGCTGGGATCCCAAAAGGCGGCAGAAGGTGGAAGAGGTTCCCAACTGGAGTTTGCCAGGATCTGTCGACCCTGGTGTTGAAACTGACACATTCCCGGTTTTGAAGACCAGGCCTTTCCGGATGGAAAACTGCCAGGAATTGCCAGGAATCCAGCTCCCTCCGCCCCACGGGCCCCGAGCTACAGGAAAGGTCCAAGTCAGAGTCCCAGCTCGGGGACACGTTAATCAGCAGCCAAGCTCTGTCCTGCCCTGCACCTTGCTGCCTTTCCCTTGTGCCTTCCCTCCCTCACTGGCTCTCCCCCGTGCTCCTCTTCCGTGGGCTGGTTTTCCAGCGCGCCGGTTCCTCTGCTCCCTGGCCCTCACCGCTGTGTTTCTTGTTTCCTCAGGTCGTGGGAGATAAAGTACTGGATGAGGAGATCAGCTTTCCTGTAAGTCCTTACACGGGCTCTGTCCAGCAGCAAAGCTCGGCTCTGGAAATCCAGGCCCTCTGGGGTTTGACTCAGCCCTGCTCCGGAGAGGGAGCTAGTGCACACCGTGACAGTCCTCATGCTTCTAGGCATGGCCAGCGCCCCAGCTGGGGTCAGGCAGGAATTCCCAGCATAGGGTGGCACATTTACAATGGGGAGGGGAGGGCGATGAGGACCCAGACACCACCCAGGCCGTGTCCACACTCAGGGGTTCTTTCGAAAAAAGTACCCTTTTTTCGAAAGAACGTCCCCTGCATCCAGACTCAAGCCGCGTTCTTTCAAAATTATTTCGAAAGAACGCGGCTTTTCTTTCGATGGCGGTAAACCTCGTTTCACGAGGAAGAACGCCTTCCTTCGAAAGTTCCTCTTTCGAAGGAAGGCGTTCTTCAATGTAAAGAGGCCGTCTTCGAAAGAGAGCATCCAGACTCGCTGGGTGCTCTCTTTCGAAAAAGCGGATTTCCTCTATCGAAAGATCCGCCTGCAGTCTAGACGCGATCTTTTGAAAGAGGCTCTTTCGAAAGATGCTTTCGAAAGAGCCTCTTTCGAAAGAAGCCTGCAGTCTAGACACAGCCCCAGTGTGGACGTAGCTCCAAAGCTGAGGTCAGGCATTCGGCTCAGCCCCATCCTGAGCTGGGAGTCTACAAGCATTTTAGCCTTGGCCCCTCAATCTGACCCCAGCGGAGCCATTGGCTTCTCCAGCGAGGGCATCCCTGTGGCTTCTCACCAGAGACATGAGCCAGGACCATTGACTGCCCCTGTTCTCGCTTGTTGATTGGTGGCATCCAGCGACACCAGCCAGCCCGTGAGAACATCCAGGGAGGAAGCACGTGCTGGTCTCCCAGGAGAGCAGCTACAGTCAGTGGTGGGAGGGGCTGGATCCTGCTCCCCTCCTGGGCCACACGCAGGGAAGCCAAAACTCAGGCTGAGGTGAACCTGGGCCTGCCTCCGTCCTCACCTTGTGAGTTTGGGACGACCCCTCCTCTTTCTCCAAGGTTTCCTTCAGGCAGACCCATTTTAAAGCCAGTCAGAACACATCTGGCGAACAGCCGGCAGCTACCATCCAGCTGCTGGGGAACACACATCGCCAGATGTTACAGTCCAGATGTTCAGCCCCAGTGTCAATGGAGCCGCCTCATAAATTGTCCTTTTGGCCTTGCCGCCACCCTAGACATCCAGCCAACAGGCAGAACCATCCTGTCCTGGGAATATCCCTTCTTGTTCCCCAAGGGGAGGGGGGCAATCAATCTTGGGCTAGCCAAAAAGGAGGCTCCTGATGCGCGTCTCTTTGCCTGCAGCTGACGTTTGGGCGTCTGGGGAAGGTGGTGGAGGAGAAGAAATCCATCACCCTACAGGACATCAGCATGGTACGTACCTGGGGTTGCCCCAGGCTTGGGGCCCAAGCGCAAAGGCCCCAATGGGAGCCTCGAGCGGACACGCGGGAGGATATACTCCGTTGTTAAGGCAGGGGTGGGCAATTATGGCCCGTGGATCCCAAGCCTTTGAATCTGGCCCCTCCCGCCCCTGTGGGCTCGGAGCAACTCCATGCCACTCAAAGCAGCTGGCTGCTCCATGTGACTCTCTGCACGGTGCATGGGTGGGAGAGTTTGCACACTGTTCCTGCCCCCAGCACAATCTCTCCGCTTCTATTGGCTGGAAAGTGGCCAATGGGAGCTGAGAAATTGTGCCGGGGGTGGGGCAGCGTGCAAAGCCTCCCCCCTTGCCCTCCCAGTGCAGGGAGCCACATGGAACAGCCCACTGCTCTGAGCGGTCTGGGATTGCTGGCAGGCAGGGAAGTCTGCCTGAGGGTCCTGCTGGGCTGCTGGCCGGGAGCTGCTTAGGTAAGAGCCTCATGATCTGAGCCTGCCTCTGGCACCCCACCCTCTCCTGTGCCCCATCTCCCTCCCAGACCCTTCACCTGCTCCTACGTCCCTCCCCCAGGCCAGAATCCTCTCCTGCATCCACACCCGCTCCCGGACCCTGCACCCCAGTCCCTTACCCCAAGCTCCCTTCTGCACCCAACCTCCACCCCAAGCCCTGCACCTGCTCCATAGAAAAGTGCAGCCCTTGACCACGTACCAAAAACTTGGAGTGGCCCTCCGTCAAAACTTATTGCTCAGCCCTGCTCTAGGGCAGCCGCTCTTGGATGCTGCCATGCTGGGCCCAGTATCAATGCAAGTGACCAACAGATCCCGGCATTGTCACTGCGGAGTCTGAGCCCTGGGGGGGGGGATAGGAGAGGGCTGAACATGTAGGAACCTCTCTCTCAGCCGCCGGCCAGTCTCCAGAGCCTGCCTTGTCCTCACTCAATAGCTGATCATGTGCGGGTGCTACGACACCAGGGTGAGGAGCACAGCGTAAGGAGCAGGATAGCAGCCAGGCCAGTGGTAGAGAAGTGGCAGAATTTTCCCATGCAGGCCTGAGCCACATAATGGTCACTTTGCGGCACATGGCTTGGTGCCTGGCCCTGGCTGCCGGGCTGTCCAAGGACATGCTGCTGCCGGGGTGGAAGGAACAGTCGGAGGCCCTGGATTAGCTCCGTCACTGCCGGAATAGCTCAGAGATAGCTGGATGGAGGGGCCCGTGTGTTCCCCCCTTCTGTCGCGATTGTCACCGACCCTCACATGTTGTTATAGTGACACCATCGGAGCAGTTCTCCCAACACCCCCACTGGGTAGGAGTGTCAGACGATCACCCAGAAAGTGTGTGTGTCCAGGGCCAGGTCTGCAGAGCACGCCAGGCAGCTGTGTCACAGGGGCTCAGTCTAGCGGTACCTTCCAGCAGGACACACACGTTTTTTAGTATCCCTGCCCTGCACTAAGTGAGTCAAAGGACCAGCTGATGAGGGGATGCCACTGTCTTCTATTGGGTGGAATCGGAACTGCCCCATACAGCTAACAGCTAAAGGTGAGTCTCTTGGCTCAAGTGAAAGGGTCCTGCTTTTGGAGCAGGGAGATCTAAGCGGTGTCTCCGAGTTGTCCTGAGCAGCTGTGGTGCACCTCAAAGCAATAACAGTGCACCACTAGGGGAGCGTGGTATTGTTCCAGAATCAACACAGTTATCCTAGTTGGGCAAACTGAGGCATGGGGAGGGGAGATGATTTGCCCAAGATGATACAGAGACTCAGTGACCGATCTGGGCACAGATCCCAGGCACCCTGACTCTCAGTTCAGCGCCCCATCTTCCAGACCATGCTGTAATCAGGGAGGCTTCCCTGAGCAGGTATGTTTCTAGTGGGGTCCCACAGGGACTGGAGCGTGGTTCAGTATTTTTCTCGGTGACCTAGAGAAAAATAAAAAAATAATCATTGATAGGATTTGCCGATGACTTGGAGGGGGAAGGGGAAATTTCGAACAGGACAGATCACTAAGGCAGAATGACCTGGGCCCCTTGATAATCTGGGTGCAAGCAAACCACATGCATTTCTGTGCGACCCAAGAGAGTTATACACCTGAGTACTGGCTTAGTACTTGTATTTCAAAGGGTGGCTCCTGGAGTAACAGCCACACAAGAGCCAGCCAGCATGTCTGGGAAAGGTCAGCCAGGTGGATGGGCCCACCAAAAAATATTCAACAGACAAGGAAGCATGGGAGGTACCAACTACGCTGAATGGACCTTCCTGCCAATCTTCAATCTGGCATCCACGAGCAAAGAACCAAGTCATGCATGGTCAGGAGACTCGCTCATGCGACACCAAACTCCATCTTGGAATAGGCCAATGAGAACAATGGGATTCTCTCCACGTGGCCGAGGGTCTAGAAATCCTGCTTCTTCTCTGGGGAGGATCTTTGCTATGTACTGAAACTTGGACCAAAGGACCGATGGCCCATGCTAACAACAAAGATACTCCAGACTCTTGACTTACACCAGCAGTTTATTTCATCCCTGCTACAAGCCTGCACCAAGAACTTGGCAGCTGGTGTATATATTTTGAGAGCTTCAACAGTTTGATTTCTTTTCTTTCTTTCTTTTTATGAATATATTTTTAGATGTTAGATTTTAAAGGTAGGGTTGCCAGATAGTTTCACCAAAAATACCAAACACGGTGGGGAAAAATTGGTTGAGCAAAAAAAAACAGGGACCAAAGTTGTTGAGCAAAAAGAAAAAAAAATCCTTTAAATTCTTCCACACTCTGGAAGAATGTCCCAAGCAGCCTTCTGGCCAAGAAAACCAAAAAATACCGGACATTTTACATGCCCAGTATTTTCTGGGTTTTTTTGTTTTGTTTTGTTACCAGACAGAGACCGCAAATACCGGGCTAACCAGTCCAATACCAGACACCTGACAGCCCTATCTAAAGGTCTGGCCATCAGCGTGATTTCTGGGTAAGGTCTACATTACAAATTGACCTGGAAATGTGGCTGGTCTTTTGGGATCAGAAGAACTTATTTGATGAGATTGTTTTTCACAACTTCTCCTCCTAAGGAGTGGTGCTGGTGGTGGCCCAAGAGAACTGGAGGCTGTGTCTAGACTGGCAAGTTTTTCCGCAAAATCAGATGATTTTGCGGAAAAACTTGCCAGCTGTCTACACTGGCCATTTGAATTTCCACAAGCACACTGAAATCTCAAGGAAGATCATCAGTGTTCTTGCGGAAATACTGTGCTGCTCCCGTTCGGGCAAAAGCCCTCTTGCGCAAATCATTTGCGCAAGAGGGCCAGTGTAAACAGCACAGTACTATTTTCCGCAAAAAAGCCCCGATCGCGAAAATGGCGATCGGGACTTTTTTGCGGAAAAGCGTCCGTGGCCAATCTAGACGCGGTTTTCCAAAAATGCTTTTAACGGAAAACTTTTCCGTTAAAAGCATTTTCGGAAAATCATGCCAGTGTAGACGTAGCCGTAGTGTCTCAGGGAATTGCTTGTCTGGCTGCTGGATAGCCAGCATGGTGCTCTTTGTGGCAGGTTTGGTGCTTTATAGTGGAGCGCCCCCAGTGTTGAACTTTCAGTAGCCTTTAAGCAGTTGGCCCTGGATTGATGCTCCTCGATAGTGTCTCCTTAGCCACATTCTCAAGTCAATGTATAGCTTACAGTCTTACCCCGAAATCACGCCATCGACAGTCCTTTAGAATCTAATAGTGGTTCCCAAACTCTTTGGCATCACCACCACCCCCCAAAACTTGTTGAGCAAAAACTTGGGGGGCGATTGATGGGGAAGCCTGAGTATCTCGTGTCCCCCCTGGAATTTCTTCATGCCTCCCCAGGGGGGCACACCCCCCAATTTGGGAACCCATGATCTAAGCAGTGTGTCTCAAAGGGGTCCGCAAAACCACTTTGAGAAACCTGGTAACTGGCCGCTCCGGTGTGTTTCATTTACCAGCTCCCTGGCCATGGAGCCTTGTGGCTCCCATTCACTCCGGTTCGCTGCTTGAAGCCAAGGGGAGCCATGGGATGGGATGGGCTGGGCTGCTGCTTCCCGCGGCTCCCCTTGGCTGCAAACGGCAAACCGGAGCCAATGGGAGTCGCGAGGCTCCGTAGCCACAGCGCCAGTAAGTAAACACACTGGAGCGGCCAGTTAGCAAGTTTCTCAAAGTGGCTTCGCGGACCCCTTGGAGACACACTGGTCTCAGGGGTTATTTAGAAAAAGAAAGGGAAGAGTTAACACTGTTAAAGGGATCAAACCCAGACAACGATTGCTGAGGTCTCGGTGCAGGATGTCGCAGTGATGGAACCAACTGCTGGCTCAAGCCAAGTCTTTGGGGTACCTCCGTGGCTGGGATGGGTCGTTCAGTCGTGAGAATGGCCAGGGAAGGAACAGAAACAGGGAATCAACAAGTGATCCCCCCAGTCGCCCATTCCCAGCTTCTGGCAAACAGAGGCCAGGGACACGCTGGCTATTAGCCATTGGTGGACTCCCCCTCCAGTCCTTTGTTTAGCGCGTCAGCGTGTAGCAAAGTTCCTCCAGAGGGGAGAAGCAAATGGGAGGGTTTCCAGGGCCTTTTATATCTTCTGCCATGTAGAGGGAAGCCCCTTGTTCTTGCTATGGAACACAGCAACAAGATGGAGTTTGGAGTCCCCTGGGCAAGTCATATGTCCATGAACAACTCCGCTCTTTACAGTGTGGCAAGGGCCCCTCCTACCCAACCACCACTGGGCAGGCCTCTCACACCTAACCCCAGAGTTTGGGTTTTGCAGCAGGTCTCTGTGGTAGGGAGCTATGTCTCCTCAGACTCCCTCCCTCGCTAGCTACCTCCGCCTAACGCTGTTACAGAACGTTCTCTCAAACGTCTTCCTCTCTGTCTTCCCACCACCTCCCTTCCATCCTCTCACCCTTCTCCCCAGCTTCCAACTGCTGAGGCTTTTAAAGGCCCTCAGCCAGCCAGCAGAGAAGTCAGCTGGCCCCAGTCTGCCTAAGCCCGCTCCCTCCCAGCTGCGTCTAATTGGCCTGCAGTTCTCTGCTTCTATTTACAGGTTTTTTTTACCCTTTTGGGCTGCCTTTTCCCCTCTCCGCAGCAGCTCCCTGGCCTGACCCTGCCACAACAGGTCCAAGCCAATGCCCCCAGGGTTGTCTAAACACTCCGGCTGTGTCTACATTGGCAAATCTTGCCATCTGTCTACACTGGCTGCGAGTATTTGCACAAGAACACTGACGTTCTACTGTATGAAATCAGTGCATCTTGCGCAAATACTCTAACGCTCCTGCTCAGGGATAAGTCCTCTTGCGCAAGTGTTCTTGCGCAAGAGGCCAGTGTAGACAGGTAACATCAATTTCTTGCACAAGAAAGCCCAATGGCTAAAATGGCCATCGGAGCTTTCTTACGCAAGAGAGCATCTACACTGGCCCGGATGCTTTTGCGCAAAGGCACATGCCAGTATAGACGCTCTCTTACTCAAATACTCTAACGCAAAAACCCTTGCATTTAGAGTATTTGCACTAAACCTTGCCACTCTAGACGTAGCCTCCCAGGAAAGCCCATCAGATGTGGACTGGCACTTCCCCAGGTCCAGTGTCAGTCAAGTACTTCTGCCGACTGGAATAGACACTTCACCATATGTTGGCCGGAGCGCCCTCCTCTTGGTGCTTCCCAAAAGCAAACGTCTGAAATCCAAGCAGAGAGCCAGTCCTCATCACTCCATATCCACCTGGGAAACATGCATTCGGGTGGCATAATCACACCCAGCAAATGACACGCTCCTCCTTGACCCCTGTAGTGTATGCGATTAGCTTCACACATGCAAACACGGCTGATTTGTAGGTTCCTCTTCCAGTCAAATCACGTCGCACCTGCCTGGTCCTCCTGCTCTCTGTTCAGTACGGAAGGGCTTGGCGTCCTTGGGTGTTTTAAAGACTAGAATCAGCAATGCCCGTCCCCTCTTGGGCAGGGCCAGTCACGTGCTGCGCCTCGCGGGCTCTGGCACGGCCGAGATAAGCATTTGGTTTCTGCCCTCGGCAGCCCCCGCAGTGCTGGAGCTAAGCAATTCTAAACAGAAAGGCCATGTGGTCCAGCAGTTGCAGAGGGTAAAACAGCTGTTTGGATTGACTCCCAGCAGTAAATCCTACAGAAGGTGATGGAGTAACAGGCTGTGGAAAGTTTGCTCCCCAGACGCCTTTCTCATTGCTCCTCTTTCTCCTTGAGAAGCCATTTGTGACAGATCTACGTTGCAGGACCTCCCCATGGCAGCAGCACCGGGAACAGACTGTTCCTCTCGTCCCCATGACCCAGACACTCCGAGCGAGGCTAGAGATGGGGATCAGAGGCAGCTGCCGCCGCCTGGCTGTTATCATCGGGTGGCGGCTCAGCCATCTATGTGGGTTGAATTAATAATGTTAATGCCTAGCTCTTGCCTAGAGCACCGTCCTCCACAGAACGCAAAAGGCTTTAGTAGCATCACCGCTGTTCTAGAGATGGGGAAACTGAGGCACGGGGCAGGGAGGTGACTTGCCGAGGGTCACCCGGCCAGTCAGTGTCCCCAGTGCAGTGCTGTGTCCTCCAGGCCACGCTGCCTCCCAGTTAGGGCATCGGTTCTCAAACTGGGAAGTGTGTTGCCATGGCTGTGGTTCATAGCACCTAACTCCTGCACCTTTCCTCAGCTTGTGCTCGGCTGCAGTGGGAGGGGCGGGCAGCTGGGCAGGTTAGAGGGGGACATGCCTCCCCTTCTGGAGCTCCCTGAGCCTCCCCCACTGCCATTTTGGGGGGCGGGGGGCTGCAGCCGCACACACTGGGTTCCTCTTGCTTTTCCTGCTTCCTGATTTCAGTGACTAGGGAGTGATGGAAACAAGCCCAGCCAGCCACATCCCTCCTCTGCCCTCCCCTGGGCAGCCCGGAGCGAGTGAATGCAGCAGGGTGGCACTTTCTCCTCCCTCCCTAGTCAGAGGAAGCAGGAAACGCAACAAGGACCAGGTATGGGCGGCTGCAGCCTCCCTGGCCCCCAAAATGGAGGCCTTGACCCCCGCACTCACCCCTACACTCCCCAGGCCCCTGCCCCAAGCTCCCTTCCCTGAATCCTGCATCCCCAATCCCCCTGGCTCTGAGTCCCCCCACACTCCCAACCCTCTGCCCTAAGCCCATCCTCATACTCCCCAACCCTGGCTCCTGCACCCCAAGCCCCCTGCCCTAACTCCTGCATCCCCCACACCACAACCCTTTGCCCTGAGGCTCCCGCACCCCACCCCACACTTACATTTCTTACAGCTAGTGTAGCGCAGCTCCCACCGCCCCGCGCTAAGGCCCTCCCCAAGGAGGGGCAGGTTGTGATGGGACAGGACCTGTTCGAAATATCAGCTCCTTCTACTGAGGAGCAGAGGGGTTATTTGAACTCAGAGTGGGGCACTGGGGCGACCGCTGCTGGAATCCTGGGCCAGGTCCGCCCCACACAATTCAAGACGGAGGTTGATAAATTAGAGAAGTGGTCTCATCTGGCCATGGGATCGCTCCATAAATCCAGTGCCCTCCCGCTCCCCATGTCCCACCATCACCCTGTGAGACCCTCCCACACCCCATGTCATGACCAGCACCCTCTGAGACCCTCCCCTGCCCCACAGCCCAACCATCACCCTGTGAGACCCTCCCACGCCCCATATCACGACCAGCAACCTGTGAGACCCTCCCCTGCCCCACATCCCGACCATCACCCTGTGAGACCCTCCCACACCCCATGTCATGACCAGCACCCTCTGAGACCCTCCCCTGCCCCACAGCCCAACCATCACCCTGTGAGACCCTCCCACGCCCCATATCACGACCAGCAACCTGTGAGACCCTCCCCTGCCCCACATCCCGACCATCACCCTGTGAGACCCTCCCACACCCCACATCCCAACCAGCACCCTGTGAGACCCTCCTACACCCCACATCCAAACCAGCACCCTGTGAGACCCTCCTACACCCCACATCCAAACCAGCACCCTGTGAGACCCTCCTACACCCCACATCCAAACCAGCACCCTGTGAGACCCTCCTACACCCCACATCCAAACCAGCACCCTGTGAGACCCTCCTACACCCCACATCCAAACCAGCACCCTGTGAGACCCTCCTACACCCCACATCCAAACCAGCACCCTGTGAGACCCTCCTACACCCCACATCCAAACCAGCACCCTGTGAGACCCTCCTACACCCCACATCCAAACCAGCACCCTGTGAGACCCTCCTACACCCCACATCCAAACCAGCACCCTGTGAGACCCTCCTACACCCCACATCCAAACCAGCACCCTGTGAGACCCTCCTACACCCCACATCCAAACCAGCACCCTGTGAGACCCTCCTACACCCCACATCCAAACCAGCACCCTGTGAGACCCTCCTACACCCCACATCCCAACCAGCACCCTGTGAGACCCTCCCCTGCACCACAGCCTGACTCTCACCCTCTCCTGTGGCCCAGGTCTCAACCTTCACCCCCATATGCCCCTCCTGTGCCCCACATCCTGACCCTCACCCCTTCTGATTGTCTCTCCCCAGGAGGAACACAAGCAGCTTCACAACATGCTGGGATTCGAGGTGACCTCCATGCTGTGTGTGCCGGTCATTAGCCGGGCCACCTCCCAGGTGGTGGCCTTAGCCTGCGCGTTCAACAAGCTGGGAGGAGAGAGGTGAGTCGGCAGCTCGGGCACGCAGCTCCCTGGGCACTAGCCCTGCACTGACGGTGCCTCTGCTCCTCCCGGCTGGGCTGGGGCCTGTGGCTTTGCCTTCACTCCATTTGGAATAGTGTTGTGTTGAGCTGCCTGTGCCAGTAACCACCCAAAGGGAAAGAATCATGCCCAGGGCCTTTACTGCCTGGTGCTTGGCACTAACAGTCCCTCTCGTTTTTAATATCCATGTGCAGAATAACTTTTGTTCCACACACCAAAGCAGGGGCAGGTGTGCACCACCCACAGAAACACACGCTGCCGGCTGTGGGCATTCTGGGAGCTCTGCTAATCAGCTGGGCGGCATTTGAATCTCTCCTGCGCAGCCGCCCAAATGCTCAGCTTCCAGGGAACACTGCGTGGCCCCAGGTGGGTGTAGGAAGGGGGAAGGGCTCTGCTGATGATCTAAGCCTGCAGCGTCCCTGCAAGGGCCGAGCCAGGTGCCCGCTCCCATTAAAGGCGCAGGGAAGCACCTCCCTAACCCACAGGTGCAGATGCCCCTCGCTGGGTAATTCACATCGTGAGACTCGGATTCGGAGCTGAATACGAACAGAGCAAAGTCCCACCCTCGCCGCTGGGCTGGCTGGCCCTGTGCCCAGCTCGCCCGACCTTTGCCAGCCTCCTATTCAGCTGCCCTGAACTCTCCTTTCCTGAGCCCCCCAGTATCCCACTGACGTTCCCTGGATGCATTCGGCATCACTGCTGGAGACGGCGTGTGGAGGCCGGGATTGTGGGAAGGGGGCAGGGCAGATGAGGGCAAATCCCAGCTGACCTGGGGCCTGGCAGAACATATGGGACATCCTCGAGGTACCTGGGCTGGGGAGAACCAGCCTGCAACAGCGAGGGAAGGGCTGGGGGGCTTTGGTCCCGGCCCTGCATTCTGCCGCATAGTAATCTTCCCCCCCACCCTGCTGCAAGGTGGGTCAGTAGCCTCACTCCTGGTCAACACATGGGGAAACTGAGGCATGGCCGCAGGGAGAGCAGGCACACATGCCAGTGTCTCTGGCGATTGGTGCCCGGATCACATCACATATAAGGGACCGGCCGGCGCCTTCACCCAGAGCAGAGGCTGCACAGGGATGGCCTGGCCTTGGAGCAGCACGTTGCATAGGCCCCCTGGGACACAGCGGCCACGTCCCACCCCAGAGGTGGCTGCATGTCAGCAAGGTGGAGCTGACCGCGCCGTTCCTCTCGCTTCTCAGCTACACGGAGGCCGACGAGCACAGGATCCAGCACTGCTTCTGCTACACCTCCACCGTCCTGACCAGCACGCTGGCCTTCCAGAAGGAGCAGAAACTGAAGTGCGAGTGCCAGGTAAGGGGGCCGCTCAGCTGCAGGGTGGAACGGGCTGTGCCAGGCGCAGGTTGGGGCGGGGCTGGGATGAGCATCCACGCTTCACAGAGCATCGCGCGGCAGTCCTGGATCACCCCAGCACTGAGAGACGGGATGGGGCAAGACAGACATTGGAAAGGAGGTTGAACAGCCCGCAGCAGGCTGGGCCCCTGCCCTCCGCCCCCTGCCAGCACAGGCTGGACCCACAGAGCAGGCCTCGCCGACTTCAATGAAGGGAGTAACTCCGCCGGCTGGTAGCAGTAGCTGGTTGTTACCCGCCACGGGGGCCCACTCCGAGAGGGGGATGTGACCGGCACTGCCAGCCTGCTACACTGAGGAGGGCTGTCTGAACACAGGATCCCCTCTGTGAACCCCCCCCTCCCAGGTGGAAAGGGTTGTCGGGCTGTCTCTGGCATTGTCATGGGGCAGGGCCTGTAGTGTGCCCCCCCATCCCCACCCAGAGGCCAGGGAGAAGAGCGAGTCACTGGGTCGTCGGAAGAACGTTTCACGCGTCTCGGTGTAAACTCAAGGCTGATCGGCCAGGAAAGGCAGGGGCAGTCCCATGTTTCAGGGGATCCCCATCCTGACAGTTGGGAGCTACCAAGGCTGGACCTGTGGGATTACCCACGTTGGGTACCCCAGTTATCTGTACACTGCCCTTGGCTGTAAGCACCTTGCAGACACAAATAGCTTAAAGTTCCCAGCCCCCCTGTGAGGTAGGGAAACCTCAGCCCAGTTTACAGCTGAGGAAACTGAGGCACAGAGGAAGAGGCAACTTGCCCTGCATGCCTTTAGGGTAGATCCAGCCCCTCTCTGATCCACCCTCTCTGACCTGTCCCTCGGCCAGGTCTCTGGGCTGTGCCCTCGGCCTGTCAGCCAGGCGACTTGGCTTTTTCCTCCGCTGGTGTCACCCTCCCCGTCCACATCCCGATCCATCCAGCTCTGACCTGGCTTGGCACCCATAGGAGATGAGTCAGTACCACGCTGTGTAGCCCTGCCGCCCCTCCCCCCTCATGGGGCCCGACACACCACTAATTACATCGCCTGTCGTTCAGCCCCCGAGCCCGCCCCAGCCTGCTGCTCTGACAATGCTAATCAGGCTGGGAGGGACGAGTCCAGAGCCCAAGCTGCCATGCCTGGCTAAATGGGCCACGTGGATCTGAATCGCCAGGGCCCTGGGAGGTGACACTGAGCTGGCAGGGGCAGGACAGGCAGCAGGGGCCTCGCTCCGCCCACAGGGTGCAGAGAAGCTGGGGGATGCCCTGGCAACACCATTGTCTGCTTACTGTCCGCAGGAGGCCCTTGGCGCTGGGGTAGGCTCACAATAGCTCACTGGTCCCGTGCCAGGGGTGCAGGCCCCTGGGCACCTGTGGCATCCTGCGCAGGCAGTAAAACACAGACCTGCCAGCGAGAGCCGGACGTGAATCACCCGCTCTTAGTGCGGGTGGTGGGGCCAGCCCTCTGCTCAGGACACCAGCCACTAAAGAACGACCTGTCCTAGTCACAGCAATAGAAAGCAGGAGTCCATACACACAACGGCACCATCCAGTAGGGGGCAGCAGTCTATACACACAATGGCACCATCCAGTAGGGGGCAGTAGTCCATACACATAATGGCACCATCCAGTAGGGGGCAGTAGTCCATACACATAATGGCACCATCCAGTAGGGGGCAGTAGTCCATACACATAATGGCACCATCCAGTAGGGGGCAGTAGTCCATACACATAATGGCACCATCCAGTAGGGGGCAGTAGTCCATACACATAATGGCACCATCCAGTAGGGGGCAGTAGTCCATACACACAATGGCACCATCCAGCAGGGGACAGCAGTCCATACACACAACGGCACCATCCAGTAGGGGACAGCAGTCCATACGCACATCAGCACCATCCAGCATGGGGCAGCAGTCCATACACACAATGGCACCATCCAGCATGGGGCAGCAGTCCATACACACAATGGCACCATCCAGCATGGGGCAGCAGTCCATACACACAATGGCACCATCCAGCATGGGGCAGCAGTCCATACACACAATGGCACCATCCAGCATGGGGCAGCAGTCCATACACACAATGGCACCATCCAGCATGGGGCAGCAGTCCATACACACAATGGCACCATCCAGCATGGGGCAGCAGTCCATACACACAATGGCACCATCCAGCATGGGGCAGCAGTCCATACACACAATGGCACCATCCAGCATGGGGCAGCAGTCCATACACACAATGGCACCATCCAGCATGGGGCAGCAGTCCATACACACAATGGCACCATCCAGCATGGGGCAGCAGTCCATACACACAATGGCACCATCCAGCATGGGGCAGCAGTCCATACACACAATGGCACCATCCAGCATGGGGCAGCAGTCCATACACACAATGGCACCATCCAGCATGGGGCAGCAGTCCATACACACAATGGCACCATCCAGCATGGGGCAGCAGTCCATACACACAATGGCACCATCCAGCATGGGGCAGCAGTCCATACACACAATGGCACCATCCAGCATGGGGCAGCAGTCCATACACACAATGGCACCATCCAGCATGGGGCAGCAGTCCATACACACAATGGCACCATCCAGCATGGGGCAGCAGTCCATACACACAATGGCACCATCCAGCATGGGGCAGCAGTCCATACACACAATGGCACCATCCAGCATGGGGCAGCAGTCCATACACACAATGGCACCATCCAGCATGGGGCAGCAGTCCATACGCACATCAGCACCATCCAGCATGGGGCAGCAGTCCATACACACAACGGCACCATCCAGTAGGGGACAGCAGTCCATACGCACATCAGCACCATCCAGCAGGGGGCAGCAGTCCATACACATAATGGCATCATCCAGCAGGGGGCAGTAGTCCATACACACAATGGCACCATCCAGTAGGGGGCAGCAGTCTATACACACAATGGCACCATCCAGTAGGGGGCAGCAGTCCATACACATAATGGCACCATCCAGTAGGGGGCAGGAGTCCATACACACAATGGCAC